TGATAATATCGTATCGTGAGTTGTATGGTGATTCCCACCTCTACTGGCTATAGATAAAGGATTAATATATTTAACCGTACAATTTAACATTAGGTTCTAACATGCAAATAACAGACAACTTCACATCAGTTAAAGCAGTTTATTTACTTTATTATCATCAGGGTTGGTTTAAAATTTGCTTTGTCAATTTACTCCTACATTTTCATCCAGACTCCCTTCACACCGTCTTGACCGTAGCTGTGAACTGCCTGGGTAAAGCAGACTTCACACTGCCACATTGACCAACTGATGAGTTAGACCATCTGGAAAAGAAAACACCAAAGCAAAATATTTATAAAAAATGAATAAAAATATGATAAAAATATGAAAGGAACACACTTTGTTCTGATTTGGGCTTAAACTTTCTCCTAATTCACCCTAGCTAGCATTATTCTACCAGGTACAGTAACAGGCTGACTTCAGTATCTGGTCACTGTGACGGTCACAAATCTTTGTCACAGTAACAATGGACATAACACATAACTGGTAAAAAAAATACATTTTACACAAATATTAGACAAATAACTGAATGCTTACCTGACGCACTTACAGAAGACATCTCTGGGGTTCTCAAATGTTGTCTACCACAGGATCAGCAACATTAATCGCTGACTTTTCAACATAATAATGTGGCAGAGGTGAAACCCTCTTTAATTTCGACCAACTATAAATTGTTGACTTTTCAGCCTCACTGGTCAACTCCAAAACCCCTATGAATCAGTCTTATTCCAGTGTCGACACAGTGTCGGCTTAACTGATATCTTAATGCTGATCCAACATTAAATTAACATTCAGATTTGACTCTCGACCACAGCCACGTTTCAGATGAAAAGTCAGTATTTCTTCAGTGTCTTCTTCCTCTCCTAAAGGACCAGATATTCAATGACTGATCCGCAAATCCAGATAAATGTGGGCTGGGATTACCTCTGCGTCACCTGAGGCATGTTCAAACGTGCACCTGTTGCCAATGAAAGCATATAACTAAATTCCAGGAATAAACAGGAAACCTTCCTTTTCATGGGTGAATTAAAACAACGTTCACAATATAACGCTTGGCCATCGGTTTCCAATTAAACCACGTAAACGGGTGATGTTAGAAGGACAGTCTGATCAGCAGCCAAGAGTGGCCACCGAGTATCGGGCGGGGAAGTGAGTAACTGTGTCGAGGAAATAGACAAAGTGCAGACCATAGGAAAGTGCAAGAGAAGTGAGGACGGGTACATCATCGGCGTCTTTGCGGCGGAAACACAACAACGCCACACAAACACGGGAGTCTGCTGCGTCCATCGACGCGTAGGCAGCTGCTAAAACAATTGAAAGCCAGCTGTTGCTCGCTGAACATGTGTCGCAGAGCCAGCTTTGCCTTATTTGTTTATGATTTGTTAAACAGCAGGAAGATTGAGCTAAAACACGGCAGTTTTCACTTACATGTGCAGAACTGCTGTTCGGATGTCTGCCCGGCTGGAATAAACCCTCCCACCAGCGTCTCCGCTGCAGAGCGAGGTGCAAAGGACACAGGGCGACAGTGCTGTTCGTCAGATTACGTTATAAAA